AGCAAGCCACCAGGTCCAGGACTCAAACTATGGTCAGTCATGTGGGAGTGTCCAGCACCTTAACCACCACGCCGCCTGCTGGTCCCTGAGATAACACTTTTTTGGGGCTGGCAGGTGGCATGGTGGTTAAGGGCGCTGGATTCCCACATGGCCCATCGTGATTCAAGTCCCAGACCTGGTGGCTTTCTTCTTTCTTTCCTTCTCTTTCTGTGTCTCTCTCTGGTCAAATTAAAATGATAATAATACATAAAGTTAAATAAAATAATTCTTTTTAAAAATTAGAAAGAAAAGAAAATACTTTTTACGGATCACACAGCAAGACCAGAGCCCAATCTGAGGGGATCTTTCATCTCCCCCCGCTGGAGTTCCAGGGGCTCGCTCTAGCCAGAGTCTTCAGCCTGGCCACCGCTTAACTTCAGGCTGGCCACTGTCTCTGGACCCAGCTTCTTCGGGGCACAGTAGGGCTTACTCACCGCCTGCTGGCTGGCTGAAAGCTCAAAGGTGAACCTCTGCACGCGGCGCTGCCTCTTCTGGAAGAGGAGGGAGCCTCGGTTGTTGCGCAGAGACAGTTCCTCCATCATCAGGTCCTGGGGCACGCTCAGCTTCTTGCCCAGGTCCAGCAAAGGGACTGTGGGAGAGGCCAGTGTGGGCTCTTAGCACTCCACCCTGACGCCTCCGGGCCCTATATCAAAAACCTCTCACACGTCACAGGCTCTGCACAAGAGCGCCCTTTCTCCCCACACCTGCAGACCCTAGGTCTTCTTTGGAGTCTGTCCACCCCACGGGCAAAGCCGTGTCAGAGTTTCATTTGCAGGCGTTTGATGCTCAGGGAAGTCATGCACTGTTTCGTAAGTTCTTTGGCCATTTGTGTTTAGTCCGGGAATTCTCTGTCCAGCTCTTTGACTACAGTGGTGGAGGTAGTGAGAAGTGACCCCATTCTAGATTTTTCTTTTTTTAGGGTACATGCACTTGCTGGACACAGAGAGTGAGACAGAAAAAGAGTGGAGGAAAATGAGAAAGCACTTCCCAGGGGGAATGGCGGAGCCACAATTCCTTCTCCTCCTCCTCCTCTCAGGATTTGGAGCATGCACACACATGTACACCTGGCATGTTTTTCAAGCTACTGGGTCCGGGACTAGCCCCACAGTTGTTTGTGTAGGATCCAGCCACTTTAACCATCATGCCACCTGACTGGCTCTCTAGGGATCTCTCGAAGGTGAACTATGGGTATGGGGAGTGAGGCAGAGGGGTTAAGCAAGACTGAGGTTTCCGGCCTGATCGCTGCAAGGATAGAGCAGCTGCTCATTGAGCTGGGGAGGGCTGAAGGTTTGGGGAAAGATGAAGAGTTTGGGTTTGGACATGTGTCCTTTTAATTTTAAATAGCCTTTCATTATCACAAAAATAGTGTATATCTCCATTAGGAAAGTTATAAAATACAGAACCAGCAGTTGGCATAATGACTATGTCGCTGGACTCCCATGTAGTTGCCTGCGGTTTGCGTCCCAGACCCAGTGGCTTGAACTCACACCGGGTGCATGTGCGTGCGTGCCCAAGATCCTGAGAGGAGAATGGAGGAGAAGGGATTGAGGCATGGTTTTGCTCCCTGGAAGTTGATTTCTCGCTTTCTCTCTGTCTCTCTCTGTCTTTCTGGTGAGCGCACACACCCTATATCAAAAACCTCTCAAAAAAAAAAAAAAGAAAAAGAAAGAAAGAAAGAGAGAAAGAAGAAAGAAAGAAAGAAAGAAAGAAAGGAAGGAGGAAAAGAAAGGAAAATACAGGTATAAGAAAAAAAGAGAAATAGTATTATCTGCCACCCACAGACTGCCACTGTAGCACCTTAGTGGATGTCTCTTCCTGCCTTTTTCAATGACTACATATTTCTGTGTAAGTTTTTAACTAAAATGAAATCGTGGTATACATGCTTTATAACTTTTTTTTTTTTTTTGGTGCAGGGCATGTGAACTTGCCAGAGAGAAACAGAGTAAGAGAGAAAGTGAGAAATCATCCCCAGGGAAGATGGCCATGCCACAGTCCCTTCTCCCTTCTCTTGGGATTTTCGGCACACACGCACACACACCAGTGTGACTTTCAAGCCATCAGGTCCAGACTTAAACCACAGTTGGCCATGCAGGAGCCCAGCCCCTTAACCACCACACCACCCAGTGACCCAACACTATGACCTTGTTTTAGATCCTGGTAAAAGCAAATGAGAAAACTGGAGAAGGTTGAATATAGGGCTTGATATTAGACAGTGTTAAACCCTTTTTGCTGGGCCAGCAGGTGGTGTGGAGGTTAAGGTGGCTGGATACCACATAGCTGTCTGTGTGGTTCTAGTCCTGGACCTGGTGGCTTAAAAAACATGGGCCCTTCCTGTGTTCCTAATGTCCCAAGAGGAGAATGAAGAAGGGATTGCAGTGATGGCATCCACCCTGGAGGGTGATTTCTCACTTTCTCTCTCTCTCCCTCTCTGTCTCTCTTTTTCTCTCATCTCTCTCTGGGGAGTGCATGTATGTGCCTTATATCAAAAACTAAAAAGAACTCATTTTTTGCTAATTTTGTTTAGTGTGCTAATATCTTTGTAGCATGTAAAGAAACCTCCCTTTTATTATTTTTGGAACATTCTGGAGAAAGCGGAGGGTGAAATGACATGCTCTTTGGTGTTAGGAATAAAGGAGGAGCTGGGGGGACTTGTACTTTTGTGTATGTTTGAAATTCGACATAATAATAAATATATATATGTATATGTGTGTGTATGTATGTATGTGTATATATATATATATATACATAATTTTTCGAGGGCACATGCACTCACCAGAGAGAGAGAGAGTCAGACAGAGAAAGTGAGAGGAAGAGTGAGAAATCACGCCCCAGGGGGACAGTTATACCGTAGTCACTTCTCTTTTCTCCTTCCGGGATCTTGGGCACCCACGCACATGTGCCTGGTGTGATTTTTCAAGCCACCGGGTCCAGGACTTGAATTGTGATTGGCCATGTGGAAGTCCAACAACATAACCACATGCTATTTGCTGGTCCCCATAATAAAGCATTTTTTAAAAAGAGAGAAAGGGGAAAAATGGGGAAAATGCCAGTCCGGACAACTGCTTGAAGGAGTTGTGCTTTCTCCCTCCCCTCTACCCCCATCCCATTTCTTTCTGGTGAGCACATGTCTTCTATAGCAAATTAAAAAATAATAATAATAAATAAAATACAATAAATAATTATTTTAAAAGGGGGAGGGGGGCCATGGCTGGAGGCAGCTATGGAATCGAGGAGGGTTTGTTTACAGAGAAGGAGAAATAACAGCATGTGTGTTAGCGGACAGACGGGACATTTGACAATGCAAAGGGAGAGAGGAGAGTTGCTGGAGGAATGTCCTTGAGCAGCAGGGAGGTGACAGCAGGGTGACCAGTCACAGCTGAGAAGGCCTGGCACCAGGCAGCTGTGAGGAGAGTTCGTCGGCCCTATCAGGAAGGAACACAGAACACGGGCGCAGCTGACCCCAGGGGACAGGGTGAGGGAGGCCCTGGCAGATGTTCTCTTTCGGTTTCTTAACCTTCCTGAGTGAGATAAGAAGCGAGGGCACAGCTGAGGAGGAGCTGTCGGAGGAAGTTCTAGAGGTGTGAGGAGAGAGGGTGCCAGGATCATGGAAGGGCACAGTCTGCGGGCATGAACTGACAGGGAACTGGGTGGTTACCAGGCAGCACGGAGGCTCATTCGGGTGCTGTGGTTTATTCTGTTCTGTAGAAACCTGAACAACTATTGAAAAATGAAGGAGATGGGGGCCAGCAGTTAGCGTAATGGCTATATCAATGGACTCCCATGTAGTCATGCTTCAAAATCATGCTGGGCATGTGTGCATGTGTACCCAAAATTCTGTGAGGAAGTGGAGGAGAAAGGATTGCGGCATGGCCATCCTTTCTGGGGGGTGTTTCTAACTTCCTCTTTCACAGTCTATGTCTCTCTCTCCAGCAAACATACACGCCCTAAAGCAAAAACCTCTGAAAAAAAAAAAAAAAGAAGGAGATGGAGCCAGCAGGTGGAGTGGTGGTTAAGGTGGCTGGATTCTCCTATGGTGGACCATGATTCAAGTCCTGGATCCAGTGGCTTGAAAAATCATGCTGGGTACATGTGTGTGCATGCTCAAAATCCCAGGAAGAGAATGGAGAAGGGATTATGGTGTGGCTATCCCCTCTGGGGGTGACGTCTCACTTTCTCTCTCTCTCTGTCTTTCTCCTCTCTGGCGAGTGTATGCGCCTTATGATAACAAACAAACAAACAAACAACAATCGAAAAAAAAAAAACCCATAAAACAAAACAAAACAAACCTAAAAAAAAAACTAAAAAAAAAAAAATTATCTCCATTATTTCAACTATATAAAGTGCACTTTCTATATGCTAAGAATAGAAATCTACAGTAGGTGAAGTAGGGAAAAAAGTAAGTTTCAGGGTCAGCAGGCGGCATTGAGGTTAAGTTGCTGGACTCTCACTTGGCTGACCACAGTTCAAGACCCAGACCCAATGGTTTGAAACTCATGCTGAGGACAAGAGCCTGTGTGCCCAAGAAGAGAAGGGATTGCGGTGTGGCCATCCACCCTGGGGAGTGATTTCTCCCTTTCTTTCTGTCTCTTCTGTGTCTTTGGTGAGTGCATGCACTCTCTCTCTCAAAAAAAAAGTAAATTTTATATTCCAAGGTTTCATTTATATATTTAGAAAATAGGTAAATGTTTGCTCATGCACTGAAAATCTGCAAGGTCTGCCAGTGTTAGCAGTGACTACCTATGGGACTGAGGAGAAGGGCTGGAAATTGTTTATTGCTGTTTTTAACAAGAAAGTGTACTGCATACTTAACTATATGAAAGACTATTTATACTTAAAAACATAACAAAAGGCCCCTAGCATCATATTCTGAAATACTATGCAAATGAACTAAGCTCAAAATATAAAAAAAAACACAAAAACAGATAAAACCCATTTGAGTAATTCTATTTCTAGAAATTTGGCCAAAGAATTAAAGAAACATAACAGAATCCATCTGTATATGATAGCTATAGATATAGATGTTTATTGCCATGGGGTTTAAAATTGTGAAAACCGGGGCCCAGCAGGTGGTGTGGTAGTTAAGGTGCTGGACTCCCATATGGCCGGCTATAGTTCAAGTTCCGGACCTGGTGGCTTGCTTTCTCACTCTTCCTTTCTATCTGTCTCTCTCTGGTCAACATTGAATAATAATAATAAATAAAATTAAAAATAAATCTTTAAAAAAATTGTGAAAGCGGAGTCATCTCCGCTAGCTGCTGCCCACATGCCTTGTATTAGTGGCTCACAGTTCCCAGCTGCCACTGTCTACAGAAGACTGCCCAGTGAAAGCTGCCACAGGCCCCTGGTCTCAGATGGGATGAATTCTGGGGTGCAATTGATGCACTGGAGCCCACGAGGGTCAGGCTGAAGCTGGACTCCCACTGAGCCCACATCCTTGCTTGGCAACTCCCCTGGCCCTGTCCTGCTTTCCCCACTTCCCTGCTCTGGAGATTGTCACTCGTACCGACTCCTCAGGCTTCCACTTAAGCATCCTGCCTAAGCCTTCTGCCTCAGGATCCCACCTGAGGCAGGCTTTTATGACCACCATAAAGGTTGGTTAGATAGGGACCAGTGGTTGGTGTAATGGCTATGTCGCTGGACTCCCATGTGGTCGACCGCGGTTTGAGTCCCGGACCTGGTGGCTTAAACTCACACTGGGTGCGCGTGCGTGCGTGCCCAAGATCCCGAGAGGAGAATGGAGGAGAAGGGATTGCGGCATGGCTATCCCCGCTGGGGGGTGATTTCTCACTCTCTGTCTCTTTCTTGAGAGCGCACATGCCTCTATAGGAAAAGCTTCTCCAAAATAAATAAATAAATAAAATAAAGGTTGGTTTGATATATATAAAAATGGTGTGGTGGTTAAGGCACTGGACTCCCACATAGCTGGTGATGGTTTGAGTCCTAGACCTGGTGGTTTGCTTTTTCTCCCTGTCTTTCTTGCACACGCCCTGTAGAAAAATTAAATAATAAAAATAAATAATATTTTTTGATAACTTTATTTATTTATTTATTTATAATTTGACCAGAGAGTGACAGAGTGAGAGAGAGGGAAAGTGAGAAAGCAAACCACCAGGGCCAACACTTGAACCCTGAACAGCCATATGGGAGTCCAGCCCCCTTAACCACCACACCACCTGCTGGCCCAATAAATAATTCTTTAAAATTATACAAACATAAAGGATATATGCAGAGTGCCCATGGGGGAGCAGCAGGGAAGAGGTGGTGACATTAATCATATTTGAAGTTGTCTGTGATGTGCTGCCGAATGGAGACAAAGGCAAGCCTGCTAGGTGCGTGTGTGTGTTCATAGAAATATATTTATAGGGACCAGCAGTTAGCGTAATGGTTATGTCGCTGAACTCCCATGTAGCTGACCGCGGTTCGAGTCCCGGACCCGGTGGCTTAAACTCACGCTGGGTGCGTGTGCGTGCGTGCCCAAGATCCCGAGAGGAGAATGGAGGAGAAGGGATTGCGGCATGGCCAACCCCCCTGGGGGGTGATTTCTCACTTTCTGTCTCTCTGTCTCTCTCTGTCTTTCTGGTGAGCGTGCACACACCCTATAGCGAAAACCTCTCAAAAAAAAGAAAAGAAAGAAAGAAAAAGAGATATATTTACATATGAACAGAAGAAGAATTCACACAAATATGCTAGCAGCGGTATCTCCAGATGGTTCCAGTATGGGGAAACTTTCACTCTCAAAGTCATTCATGTCTGTTCTGTCTAGATTTTGCTTTCAAAGTTTCTATTATTGAGTTGTTGGGAAACTCATGATACATTTTAAAATAATTAATTAATTAATTAAAATTTGATCAGAGAGGGACAGAGTGAGAGAAAGTGAGAAAGCAAGCTGCCAGGTCTAGGACTTGAACCACAGTTGGCCACATGGGAGTCCAGTGCCCTTAACCACCACACCACCTACCAGCCCCTCATGATGCATTTTCGCATAGGCAAATACGTCATGACTTTTCTGACAACCCAATATTTGTATAGTAGAGAAGCAGCGCTGGAGACCAAGGGGCCTGGAGACAATCCCAGCTTTACCACCTCGCTCCTCTGAGCCTCAACTTTCTCATCTGTAAAATGGAGACAATAATATCTAACGTACAGAGTTGTGAGGGTCAAATGATAGAAGGCATACAAGCTCTTCTGTAGTGAGCATACCAAACGGTGTTTTATTATTTTCCGTACTACATTACAATGACTTAAAAAAAATTCTTTGCCAGAGAAAACATGTGCACTTACCAGAGAGACATGCAGAGCGAGAGAGAAAGTGAGAAAACATCCCCGTGGGGGTGATCACGCTGCAATCCCTTTCCTCTGTCTCTCCCCTCCTTTCAGGAGTTCAGGTATACATACGTATGTGCCTAGCATGTTTTTCAAGCTAGGTCAGTTGGCCGTAAGAGACCCAGCTGCCTTAACCACCACGCCACTGACGGACCCTACCACAGCTCTTTTTAGGAGGCGAGACCATGAGATTTCTTTTTTTCTACCTACCTTCTCTTTCGCTTCAAAATCATCTTTAATTAACACCTTAGTAAGAATTAACAAGTTATATATTTCAAGTCTGGCATATATTACATGTATCGATATTAAGGGGTCTGTAGTTAATCATTTACTCAAATAAGAAAGAAAGAATACATTGCCAGATTCTTCCATTTAGAACATCAGTACCTCACAAAGTTTGCATATTTCCGCACACAAAATTACAGAGAAGGGAAAAGAAACTCGACGTCCCAAAGCTTTGGTGAGACCCACAGTACAGTAAACAAGGACAAGCACATGGGGAGCCCGTGGCTGCAGGTAGGGCTGGATCTGGGCCTCAGTGGGGCCAGGGGCCACCTAGGATCGATCAGTTCTGGATCTGTGGATGAAGGGCAAGACCCTCTCAACCCCTCGGGAAGCTCTGCAGCCCAGGCAGACACTCCCTTGGGACTGGACTGGACCTCACGCCTGCTTGCACAGCCCTGGGGCCAGCAGGCCTGAAAGCCACGGTTTGGGACCCAGAAAGGATGAGGTCTGAGCAAAGCACAGGGCTGGGCCCCTGCTTACCTGGTTCACAGAGGTCCCCCATGGTAGCTGTCACTGGCCCCTTCTGCTCCTTGGGGATCATCCTGTGGAGGAGAGACTCCCCCAGATGGGTCAGGTGGTATCCATTCCTTCCCAGACCTCCCCCTCCCCAGGCCTCTTCCAAGTCCCTGACCCACCCACTCCAGCCCTGAATAGCTGTGGTCCCCCCACTGTCACAGTAAGGGCTGTCTGAATTAGAAGGGGCTTCAGGGTCTCTGAATAGAGGAAACTGAGGCCCATGGAGGGCCAGGGTGGAAACAAATCTCCACTCTCTCCCTTCTATGGGGCGGCCTCCAGGACCTTTCTCCAAGCCTGGCATCCTGATCAGAGGGAGGTGTCTGGGACACTGGGGCGGGGGTGGGGGTGGCCCTTCCCAACACTGTTGTCACCTGCTGACCAGGGAGAGCACTGATCAGAGGCTGAGAGAGGTTGTGGAGGTTTTCATTGGGGGAGAGGGAGCATGGGTGAGGCTGGTCTGCACCTGCGTCTGCAAGGCCAGGGCTCCCCTCACGTCTCTGCTACTTGGCATTGAGGCTTGAGGGCACCTGCCGGTCTAAGAAAGCTGAGAAAATCATTTTACCCGTCCTCGTCCGTGCACTAATTTCCCGTGCCTTCTCTCCCCCTGCCCATTTGCATCGTGTGGCACTTTCCAGGAATCTTGGAGGAGATTTACCAAAATAATAAGGTCCAGAGGCCCAGGGAACCCCAACAGGCCCCAAATCCAGATTCCCTAAGCAGAGGCCTGACTCACTACCCCCTATCTCCACCCCACAGCCCCTCTCCTTTGTTTCTAGGTTTCCCACAATCCTTCCTTTAGAAAACAAGCAGGTCGTGTGGCAGTTACGGCACTGGACTCCCACATAGCCAACCGTGGTTCGAGTCCTGGATCCAGTGTGCCCAAAATTCCAGGAGGAGAATGGAGAAGGCATTGTGGCACGGCCATCCCCCTGGGAGGATTTCTCATTCTCCCTCTCTCTGTCTCACTCTCTCTCTCTTTGGTGAATGCACACATCTTATGGCAAGACCTTAAAAGAAAGAAAGAAAGAAAGAAAGAAAACAATCGGCCTCCATCTGCACCCCCAGGACCCCAAGGTGGCTCTGGGTTAGTGGTCAGGGAGCTGGGCGACCTGGGGTTAACACAGGGTCCCTGACCTCCTATGTCACTGTGAGCAAGCAGCTCTCCAGCTCTGTGCCTCAGCCCCCTCCACCCCCGGGGGATGGGCTAGATCGTGGGGGTCTGTGGACAGGCGTCAGGGCACCCGTGATTCCCCTAAACTATGGAAACGATAGAGTTTCTGCATGCACCTGGGGCGAGAATCGTGATAACAGAGAATGCCCCGACGGTGACCGCTAGGACTCTACAGTCCAGAGATGAGTTTCTTGACAAACACTCCCTAACTGAAATTCGCCGCCGCTGAAAGCTGCTTCCCTCTGCTGCCTCAAGATCCTGCAGGCCTGAGCAGAGCCATTTCCTGCCCGTCGCCTTTCCTCCTAGCCACCCACTCCCATGGAACGTAGAATAACCCGGAGCTGAGAGCTCCTGTCCGCCCAGGTCAGCATCCAGGCTTCCACGAGACCCCATCTCCCCAGACCCTCCTCTGCAGGGCCCTGCCTCTGCTTGGGGGATGTCACTCTGGGGCTTGGCCTAGTTCCTCCACCCATTCCGCACAGCTCCCCAAGCCCCCCTAGGATCTTGGTACCTGAGAGGATGGGGCCACAGTGGGCAGGAGGGAGTGACAGACCCTCAAGATGAACACTTCTGTCGGGAGCCTCAGGGTTTCGGCAGGGGTGTCCGGTGTCTGTGGAGGCAGTGTAGACAGTCGGCAGTGGGCGAGCAGGGTGTGCCCTGCAGCTAGCTCTGGCTTCAGCTGACGAGAATCATTCCTGCCCTGTCGTGGGTCACAGCCTTATTTCGGGCTGCAACAGGATCTGGGGCCAGATGCTAAAAGCACCAGCCTCTAGGGAAGACAGGTGCCCGGCAGCAGGCCCTTGCAGACAGAGGGCTTGCGCCCGTGTGTGTGCACGCACGCGCAGGCACACATCAGTCACCTGGGAACGCTGAGGGTCAGCCGCCCCGTCCCGGCAGCTTGCTAACTGCCGTTTCCGTGGTGCCTAGGATGGCGCCTGAGCGGAACCCTGCAGATATTTAGAAGTTTGTTGAGTGAACTCATGAATGAATACACGAGTGAATAAGTGGTCAGCCACCCCCGACGTCCTTGCTTGACTTATCCTTTCCTTCCTTCCTTCCTCTGCCTTCTCCTCCTCCCTTCCTCCACCGTCTCATATTCTCTGAGCTTCTCTCTATGGACTGAAAATAACAAGACCGGCCTCTGTCCTCGAGGAGCTAAGCCAGATTCACACTGGTAAACAAGACTGTGGTGGGTGTCGTGGAAACTGCCCAGGGAGAGCCCAGGGGATGGTACCAGTAGCTCAACCCAGGCATTGGTGAGGCTTCCCAGAGGAGGAGCTGCTTGAGTCGGGCTTTGAAGGATGCGTGGGAGTTCTCTGGGCAGAGAAGAGGCCAGGGCAGTGAAGGCCGAGGACACGTCATATGTGAAGATGGCAGGGGCTCAGCAAGGAGAGCCAGCGCCAGGGCGTGTGGGGCAGTGCCGAGAGATGAGGCCAGACAGGTGGGCAGGGGCTGGACCACGGCAGGCTTTTCAAAGGAAACCGTGTCTGCAAAGGGCTGCGGAAGATTACCGTGGTGGGATGGAGAGGTCACTTCGGCATTTTCCAAAGCTATCTCTGGCTGTCACATGGGAAATGGCTTGTAGGAGCCAGATTGGAAGCTGGAGGATTTCACTGTAGCCAGAGGTGGAGACGGAGGTGGCCGAACTGCCACGGTGGCTGAGCGGACGGAGAGCAGGAGCGGGAGCTGAGGGTCTTGGTGAGGGATCAGAGATGAGAGAGGAGGGAAGGAGGAAGGCAGTGACCACACTCTTGTTCTGAGCTGGGTGAGGTTGTTTTGGATGAACTTGGTTTGAGGTGGGGACTTGGTTTAGATGAACTTGAGCGAACACTCAGGAGGGTCCTTGCTGGAGATAAAGACCAGATCAGAGGCACGAAAGTCACTCCCAGGGAAGGTGGACCCAGGCAAGGACTCCCTGCGTGCAGGGTGGGGCGTGCCCATGTCTGAGTGTCTGTGTAGACCATTCCTAGGTGTATTTCTAACACTCTCTTGGGACAGAAACCTGAAGTCTGCTGTGGCCTGTCTTGAGCTCAGCTTCCTGCCCCTTCGGCTCCTCCGCCCAGTCTCTGCTGGCCCTGAGCTCCTGGGGATGGAGGGTGTGGTGGTGGTGAGGGATGTTCTCAGGGCAGGCTTTGCTTCACCAGAGAGTAGAACCACAATCCCCTTCTCTGGGCAAAGGATGTATGGATCATAAGGGAAGGACTCCTGATGGCGTGGGTACTGACCTCAATGGGGTTGCCTGGACCCAGACATGGCCGCCCTTTGTACCTCTTCCTCCTGCTCTGGGGTCTCAAGCTGCAAGAGAAGCAGCTCCAGAGCAGCGAGTGCTGACTCAGCTTGGCCCTGCCCACTCTGGTAACAGTGCCCTGTGGTCAAGGTCTGGGCACTGCCACCCTGAGGCCTCGCTGAGCTCTTCCTTTGGTCAGATGGGGAAAGCGGCCTGGAGGAGGAGTGCTATCATCCAGTCAGTGGCAGAACCAGGATTTCAGCTCCGGTTCTTCTGTAGCCCATTTTTCTGTTGTTCCCATCTCTCCTCATGGCTGCTTGTTCCCAAGCCCAGACCATGTGTTGCAACTATTCTCTGCCCTTGAGTCCCATAGACTGTTCCATAGGTAGGGAGAAGGGAAGAGCCACCAGACAGTCAAAAAATGACACTGGAGACAGAAGAATGCAGGAAGCATTTATTGAGGACTGGAGCTGAATTCTACGGGTAGCAAGAGCCAGGACACAGGCAAGCTCTAGTGGGTTAGAGGAGAGGATTGAGGAGGGGGCAGTGACAATGAGAGGACAGCCAGAAACAGAACTGCACCTTCATAAGGCTGCCTCCTGCTGGCTCGCTGGGGAAATGCAGGTAGAAGTGGATCTTCTATGCCTTTGCATTAGCCAGAGGCCTAATAGTCTCTTCTGGGAGGGGATCTTAGCTCCAGTCTCTCATGCAACAAAGGATCCTCAAGCAAGTGTGGTCACTCATCATTAACTAAGTGGGACACCCTTTCTTCCTACAAACAGCAGCTGTGTCCATAGGAACCTTCTGGGATCAATCACTCTTTATTCCAAAGCACCTCACCCCAACCCTGACACTCTTGCATCGTAATCCTAGCTTCCCCAGTTTCACCTGGGGGTTCCAGGTCTGTCATCACCCTAATGTAAGTAAATTCCCCCTATCCTAAAAACACCCTCTGTCCTTTACCTTTAGCAATGTCCTATAGACTTTCACCTGCATATCTTTGACCCTCAGCCAATTCCAGAGTATCCTGAGGCTGATATTCTGAACCTCTAGAGGGCACCACCAGCCAATTCTGGAAATTACAGAACTCAGCCACATTCCACGGATTGGAATCCGCTAATTTAAGGAAGAGGTTAGAGCCTGCTCCCAGGGGCCCCCAAGGTTGCTGGGCACCAGGCCTTAGCTAGGTCAGAGTGCGATGGGAAAGAGATGGGGTGGGACAGTGTCTTCTTTTCTGGGCATGAATGGACATTGAAGCTGGCACCTGGAATTAGGCAGGGGCACTTCCGAGGGGAGTAGGAACACAGGCAGACGTTGGTCTACCCCCTCAATCACCCACCACACTTCAACTACCCCTGAATTTAAGGCCAGCCAATCCTTCACCACCACCCTCCTCCCTTCCTAATACCATGGAAAGTATTTCAGGGCTGGAAGAGCCCTCCGCGGTCATTGAAGCCAATCCCATACCCACTAGAATCTCTTCTGTGGATCCTGACTACAAAGTGCATGCTTTCCATGGCCAGAACGTTGCTCCCCCTTTCCAAATGGTGACCTTAAAATGAGGCAATCCAGTAAAGCCATGGGGTAGCTCCATGTCTTTCCTTCTCTCCCCAGCTCAGTTTTGAGG